GTTTAGTTTTGTTTGCTTTTGTTTTGTCTTTACTTGAAGTTTGGTCTTTATTTAGTTTTGTTTAGATATGTTTAGTTAGGTTTACTCTTGTTTTGTCTTTTTATTTGCTGTTCTATTTAGTTTAGTTTAGTCTTTACTCTTTACTTGCTGTTTTGTTTAGTTTTGTTTGCTTTTGTTTTGTCTTTTTACTTGAAGTTTGGTCTTTTTTAGTTTTGTTTAGTTTTTAGTTTTGTTTGCTTTTGTTTTGTCTTTTTACTTGCAGTTTGGTCTTGTTTAGTTTTGTTTAGTTCAGTTTAGTTTTGTTTGCTTTTGTTTTGTCTATTTTTAAGGTCCAGAACGGCCTTTTCTTTGATGGAATCTCTGGCAAAAGGTGTGTAACATGCTCTCATAATGACTTTCTATGAGATGAACACACACAGCTTGAAATTATGACAATGGATGATGTGACAAAGAAGGGGTTGGATCAAGACACACCGCATCCCAGAATGCACCTGGATGTGCAGTCCAGCCGTCTGTTCCACTCACTCGCAGCCAAATGAACAATAAGAGCCCTCACTAAGAAATATTACAATACCCTTCACGAAACACTGTTACCATCCTTTCCTTCTCCACAACACATACACTAAGCCCTGAGAAAGCCTGTGCACAATACAAGGGGCAGGAACTGACCAGCCAATGAATACAGAGCCCCCTATTATCACACCATGTGTTCAGTCCGAACACTGCAGTTCCCAGGCATGAGACGTATTGTTCAATTTAATGAACGCCACTTGACAGATAAATAGAAAGAAAGAGGCTGTGAATAAAGAGAGTTAGTACGGCTAATTCATCCTTTATCTCCATAAACAGCATTTCATTGTAATAGACTTCTAATTGACTTTGGTCAATCTGCTCGCTCGAGGATTTGAAAAGGATCTTGGGGGGTTTGGGGCTGAATCCATGTGCCATCACTCACAGCAAAACAACACTAAAAGGTGACACCATGACAGGACAGTTAGGAAGAAAAGCACATTGAAAATAGGGCTGGGTGATATTGATCAATATATATATATATATATA